ACTCTCAAGTGAAAGTCTCTTAAGTGAATGTAAACACAATACAAAAAAGAAACTCAAGTGAAAGTCTCTCAGGTGAATCTCAAGTGAATGTCTCTCAAGTGAATAACACAAGTGAAAACCTCTCAAGTGAAAATGCCCTCAAGTGAAACAAAGTGGATGCAGCTCACATCTTTTTCAGCTTTCACTTTGAGTGAAGCCAACAGCAGCTCAGGTGGCAGTGCCCAATGTATCATTCTCACAAGGTTTCAACCTTGTCCAACAAGAAGTGCTGTGCAATCCTGTAATGTGCCAGGATCTTTCCAGTGGCATCCCAAGGAGCCAGCCTTTGAAAACAAAAGGCAGACAGTTGCCGCAGCCTCTTCATTTGGTCTTCACCAGAAAAGCACCACACCACTCTGGGTGACAAAAACTTTGACTGCAAAGCACAGTGGCAAAGGTAGTGTGCCTTTGCAGTCACTGTGAACAGCTGGGAATCACCCTTGGACTTGAACTCTTCTGCCAATCCTTGCTGCGCATGAAACATTGAAAAGATTGCTTTTGTCAAAGCTGCAGCCTGTGTGTCTTCCAGCCAATAATCACCTTTGGCATCCCTCAAGATCTCTTCACACTTGCATGTGAGTTTCAGCACCACCTCTATTTTTTCTGTTCTGTAAAGTGTCCAGATCAGCAAACATTTGCCAGGCACTCAGAATTGCACTGCCAACATTCTTGATTTCAGCAGCTTTTCCACGAAGCCTGTGTGGCCCTTGCTTCCTGCAAAACATGCTAAGTTTCAAGAGCTTTTAGCTGGTTCCTGGGCAATGCTGCTTTTGGAATTCCTGGATGTGAAGCCAGGCCACCTTCAGGTTCTCCTTTGGTGAAGCATCCATCTCTTTAAAGCACAGAAGCCACAGGGCTGCACCCAGGATCACAGTATCTGTCCCCAGATACTTGCTGTGCATCCAATCGTACATCACATTGCAACCACTGTTCCAAGGCAATGTAAACAATGGGCAAGAGCTCTTCTTGTCTGACTCCTGCCAATCCTTTGCGCTCCACAAAGATGTGGTCTATTCAGCCACAGGCCTGAAGTCTTGCCAACCCTCACCACTGCACTTGCAAAGGCAACATGGTGAATCTTTTCTAGACCATCTGGGAAGCCCTAGTGTTGCAGGCAGGTAGTCTAAGTCTCCTTCGATTGCAAAAAGAATTGCTTTGAACCCTCCAGCCAGCAGAGTCCCTGCTTTGGCATAATTCATTGAATCCTGCTTGTACTTCTTCCCTTTGTGATCACAATAAGGCCAGCAGCCACTGAAGCATGCCTCAAAGCTCCATTTTAAGAGACAGAAGAACTCTTCTAGGGTGTGGTCACCTGCAAAAGCTTCACAGTGCTGCCACTGGCCATCATGGATGCCCAGCTAAATGCTGTGCACATCTTGACCCAAGCTTTACCAGCTCCTGTGATGGGAACTCCATCACCATGTAAGGATACTGGCACTGCCACACTGAAGTCTTTTTTGTCTAAAGGCATTCCAACCATAGCTGCATGCCCACCAGCCATCCTGTTCCAGAATCCTTTCAGGTCTGCATCGCTGGGCAGAATAGTGCTTCTCCAAGCATGTGGGTATTGATGGTACAGAGTTGCAAACCACTCATGTGGTAAGAAGATCTTTTGCAGCCTCATTTTGTCATCCTGGAATGGGAAGCTGCACTGCATTGGTTGTGGAAACCTGCTGAGTGGTGCAGCTATTTTCAATAAGTCTCTATGGCAATTGTTTGGCTGTTGTCCATAATTTCCTAAAGAGGCAAGCTTCTTCAGAAACAAAGGCTGAACAGAAGAGCTGGAAGCTTCCAAATCCATGCTGCTCTTGTGTGCAAGAGCTTGCACCATTTGAGGTGAAAAAAATGCCTTCAGCCCATTTCTGCACCAAGAAAGCTGCCAACTTGCTCTTTGGTGAAGGTGCAGCTTTTTGTTCCGCAAGAATTGCAGCTTGAGCCCTTTGCTGTATGCCCCCTGTCCTGGCTTTCTTGGGAGGTCTGTAAGGTTCTTCCATGTGGCTATGTCTTTCATGCCTATGAACCAATATCCTGCAGATAAAAGATACTCTTGCAATCATACACCTGGATGTGCCACAAGCCACAATGAACACAACCCCTAGACCTCAAAAGAAAAGACACCAAAAGGGCTTTAAGTCCAGTAGATGCATCTCAATGGAACTGTTCTCAAGTGAATGTCTCTCTCAGGTGAAGATCTCTCAAGTGAATGTCTCCAGTGAATATGTTAAACATAAGTGTTGGAAGTGAAAGTCTCTCCAGTGAGTTTCAAATGACTGTACACCTCTGAACTTGGGAAAACAGCTTAATTACAAATGAAAGTCTCTCAAGTGATCATCTCTCAAGTGAATGTCTCTCTCAGGTATGAAAGTCTCTCAACTGATCATCTCTCAAGTGAATGTCTCTCTCAGGTGAATGTCTCTCAAGTGAATGTCTCCAGTGAATGTTTTAAACATAACTGTTGGAAGGTAAAATCTCTCCAGTGAGTTTCAAATGAAAACAACTTCATTACAAATGAAAGTCTCTCAAGTGATCATCTCAAGTGAATGTCTCTCTCAGGTGATGTCTCTCAAGTGAATGTCTCTAAGTTACAGCCAAAGACAGCTTTTTTTTTCTCACAGAAGCAGAGTTTCAATCCCTTGAGCTTCTTGCAAGGCTACAGCTTCCTTGCTTTGAGGACTGCTTTCAGAGATTCAATGCCCTCTTGGTTCTGCTCAGTCTGTGTCGCTAGGTGGTGCATCCATGCCTTGAAGCTTGCATGTGTCAGCTTCACTCCATCATCGCCTGGCAACTCCTGCCATGTCAGCACATAATCCACATCCTTCTTTTGGGCAACCACAGAAGTAAGCAGCTTCTTCAACTGTGCCAGCATCTCCATGTCTTTGGCTGTCTCGATGCGTGGCTTCAGCTTGTACATGTCCTTCTCCATTCTGTCTTGGCATGACTTGGCCTCTGTCAGCATCTTCTCGCACTTTTTGAAGTCAACTGCATCTTCCTGTCAAGTAAAATGAATCATTCTCTGAAGTGAAAATCTCTTCTCAAGTGAAAGTATCTCAAGTGAATGCACAAGCTCCAACCAATCTGTTTGTTTGTTCAACCCCCAAAAAAACAACTCTCAAGTGAAAGTCTTTCAGGTGAATCTCAAGTAAAAGTCTCTCAAGTGAAACATTCCGAACAATGTGTTTGTTTGTTACACCCCAGGACAAGAACTCTCAAGTGAAAGTCTCTCAAGTGAAACATTCCAAACAAGGTGTTTGTTTGTTAAACCCCAGGACACGAACTCTCAAGTGAAAGTCTCCCAAGTGAAACATTCCAAACAATGTGTTTGTTTGTTAAACCCCAGGACAAGAACTCTCAAGTGAAAATCTCTCAAGTGAATGTGCACCAAGTTCCAACCAATAATTTTGCTTTCCAGAAGACGTATGTGCCTGTCCTCCACAAGTTCCCTTTTGCCCTTGCTGGAAGAAGAACCTTTCTTCTCCTCATCTGAGTCACCTTGCAAGCCATACTGTGCAAAAGCTGAAGCCATTGCCAAGTAGTCATCTTTGTCCACCTTCCAATTGGCTTCCAAGCTTGTCTTGTCGCTCTCTCCCTTGGTCTTGACCATCTGGAAGGAAGGTGTGCACAAGTACTCAATGCCACCCCTCTTGGTGCTCAACACCTCTTTCTTGTCGATGGCCCTCTGCAAGGCCTCTTCATTGCCATTGAAGTGTTTCCACAGAAAGACTGTCCTGGGTTCCCCAGTGAACTTCTCTTTTTCTTCCTTGCTCACCCAGTTGCTCTTGAAGCTCTGCCAAGCCTGCCCAGACATGTTCAAAGTCAGCTCCCCATCTTTACCATCCTTTTTGAAAAGGGCATTGATGAGGGCCGTTTTGTTCTTTCTTGGTGCATCTGAGTTGCTCACCCTGTCGACTAGCAGCATCACTCCTTCTGGCAAGGATCCATTCTTCACAAGTTTATTGAACTTTCTTGCTTTTGCATAGTCTCTTTTCTCTGCATCATCTTCACCATCGCTTTCTTCCTTTGCCTTCTGTTCTGCCGACACTCCTCTCTTCCAACTTTCAGTCTTGTGTCTCAAAGACTGTTTGTCCTTTTCTGACTTTTCTGCCTCTCCAGCTCCAGCCTTTTTCTCTTCAGTTTCCTTATTCTTGCCTTTTCCCTTCGACTTGCCGTTGCCTTTTGGCTTTCCTTTTGGTTTGCCCTTTGTTTTTGCCTTTGGGCTAGCCTTGGCTTTGCCCTTGGCTTTGCCCTTGGCCTTTGGGCTGCCCTTTGGTTTGCCCTTGGCCTTTGGGCTGCCCTTTGGTTTGCCCTTGGCCTTTGAGCTTACCTTGGTGTTGCCACTTTCACTTTTTGTGTCACCGTCCTCTAGTGGCTCCCCATCCAAATCAGATGAAACCAAGCCTTGCTTGGCTTCTGGTGTGTGGAAGCCATCCTCTGTTTGGGTGGCTGGCCTTTTCATGGCTTTCATGTACTGTTCTCCTAACCTTTGCTCGAGCCCTAGCATGGTCCAAATTTTGATAGTGAGTGACTCTTTCATGGAGACATTTAGAAACAATAAACAAATTGTGTAGAAACAAGAAGAACATTGTCCAGAACTCTCAAAGGAATAACTCTCAAGTGAAGAAGTCTCAAATGAAGACACCTCTCAAGTGAACTCTTCCAACTGCTTTCAAACACTTGTCATAAGTAAAACTTCCCAGTGCTCTCAAGTAGAGCTCTCAAACCAAAACCTCTCAAGTGAATTTATCCAGCTACTCCCAAAAACTTGTCACAAGTAAAAACTGTAAGTGCTCTCAAATGAAGAACCTTCAAAGGAAGAACTCTCAAGTGAAGACCTCTCAATTGAGGAAACCTCTCAAGTGAACAAACCTTTTAAACTCTCAAGTGAAGACCTCTCTTTAGAGGAAACCTCTCAAGTGAACACACCTATAAAACTCTCAAGTGAAGAACTCTTAAAGGAACTTCTCTCAAGTGAAAAGCGCCTCAAGTGCAGAAACCCCTGATGCATATCATCTACAATGCATGTCATGGTTCAACTGTTTGAACATTTCCTGAGCAAATGTCAATGCGCATTTTATTTTTTGTTTAAAATTCACAAACTTTTAATGATTTTCCTGAACAAATGTCAATGCGCATTTTAATTTTTTGTTTAAAATTCACAAACTTTTAATGATTTTTGAGTTTATAGGTGAAAGTTTGGTGAAAGTTTGCATGAAACTTTCATGAAAGTTTCATGAAACTTTCAGGTGAAGATGAAAGTTTACTGAAACTTTCACGCAACTTTCAGACTGACATGAAAGTTTACTAAAACTTTCATGAAACTTTCAATGCCCTATGAAACTTTCATGAAAGTTTCTTGTTGGTATGAAAGTTTCATGAAACTTTCATGAAAGTTTCATGCAAACTTTCATCAAACTTTCATACTACAGTGAAACTTTCATGAAAGTTTCATGCAACTTTCTCATTACTTCTTCAAATTCAGATTTAAAACTTAAAAAATATGTCAAAAAATTTTTAATTCATATATTTTTGTATTCCAAATATAAAGTTTTAGAGCAGCAAAAAACAATACTTCAGCTAGTGAACTATTGTATATTCAACCATGTTTGATCGCATTTGAACAAACATGCACTCAAGTGAAGTATCTCAGGTGAATCTCTCAGCTTCATTTCAGGCCTTAGTGATAGATTAGCTTTAGAAAAGTAACGTCTAAAGTGAAACCTCTCAAGTGAACCTACCAGTTCCAAGTGGAGTTGATTAGAAGCTGCACTCAAGTGAAATATATCCCAAAGGATCGCTTTAGAAAAAAGCAAGCTCTCAGGTTCTCTCTCTCTACCACTCAAGTAAAATA